GGGGGGGCGCGGGGGCGGCTTAAAAACGTAGAAATCGTAAGCTGCCCTATTTTGTTTATTGCCTTCTGGAATTGGATAAAGCAGATTAGCCCGGTGTAACACGGGGAGACCCGAGTTTCACCTTCTTGCCGCCCTCTCGTCTCCTCCCCGGCAGCCCCCTTTGTCCTTTTGTGTCTATTTTTGGTGTGATGCTGCAGACGCCACGTGGTCAGGGAAAGGGAGCTCGCCTCGGTAAACAGTCAGCTGATGGGGCTGTGTTATTCCTTGCAACCAAATAGCACGACCGGATGGGCCAAGGCTGTTGATGGTGTAACCCCACAGATGACCTGAAATTACACTGCTAATGGCTTTGGCCCATAAGAAATTTAAAGCTTTTTTTTTTTTTTTTTTTAAACGCCTAAATGACAAGCTTATAAATTTAATTTAGCCCTGCTAAGAAGGAGCTGAACAATGGAGAAACGCTCTAAACCTTGACTTTAATCTGTCTTTTCCTCCCCCTCTGCCCTGCTGTTAGGAACGAGAGTATACAGCCCTCCAGAGTGGATCAGATACCACAGATACCATGGGAGGTCAGCAACAGTATGGTCTCTGGGAGTTCTGCTGTACGATATGGTTTGCGGAGACAGCCCTTTTGAGCAAGATGAAGAAATCTTGAGGGGACGATTATACTTCAGGAGGAGAATTTCACCTGGTGAGTTGTCTAGAGGTCAAGTGGGGGCGTGGTGGTTTTTTCGGGGTTTTTTTGGTTTTGGTGTTTTTTTTTTTTAGCCTTGTATATTTGAGCTTGTACAGGTGGATTTTTTAATTCAGGATTGTCTTTTTACTTTCCTAATCTAAAATTTTTTTTTTGTTTGTTTGTTACAGAATGTCAGCAGCTGATCAAATGGTGCCTTTCACTGAGGCCTTCAGACAGACCAACACTTGAGCAAATTTTTGACCATCAATGGATGCACAAATCTGAAGTAGTGAAGTCTGAGGACTGTGACATAAGGCTACGGACTCTTGATACTGATGTATCTAGCACAAGCTCAAGTAATGAGAGTCTGTGAATTACTAAGGACCTCGCACTGGGAGGGGAGCTACAAGCAGAAAGACCACAGTGCTGCTGCCAATACGTAGGAGGGGCTAGAAAAATGCATTCATTATTCTGTAGTTGAATCTTTGTCTGAGGGACTTGATTTTATTTTCCCCCTTTGCTGGTTTCTGCTTTGGAATGAGAGATTTCCTTTGGAAACGCTGATGTTTGGGAGTTGCAGGCCAGTACTTAGTCAAAGACTGACCTTATTAAGAAAGCAGTGACCTCTTGAATACATGGTAAACTTTTTTGCTCTCATAGAGCCTGGACTAGATTTTATTTGCTTTTGAGTGCCTTTTTGAAAGCTGCTTCAGTGGGACTTTCTTTTTTGAGCTGTGTATGTCCAAAGAAGATCCAGTTCATTATAGGAATTTGCTCCCTTTAGACTCAGTGCTGGAGGAAGCAGCTCCTATGATGCATTGGAGAACATGTTCGGTGATTGAATGAAGTAGTCCCATCCACTGGTGATGGAATACTTGAACACAGACATTTCACTCCTGCCCCCCCGGCCCTTTCCAAATCCAACCCACCTCTGCTGCTCAAAAATATTTCCTATAGCCTGCACAGAAAAATGAACAGGTATATGAGCTTTTTTATCAGAAACATTTATTCATGTTTCCTTTTATCATCTCTACCATTGGGCATGAGAAGCCCCTTTCTCAACTCCCCCCGGCCTTTTGTCACCCTGCGAGTCTTAAAGTGTGTATGGGCATGTTGAATGCACAATCAATGCAATATTCAAGGACTTTACTTTTTTTTCCATACCTGTATAATGTGTTTATGTAAACTTGGTTTTTCCCATGTACTATACAGTTATTTATTGTTTTGGAGTTTAGAAGACCTCCCACAGGTTTCAGCTGTGGCTATTTATTTGGTTAATTTATTTGGTTAGAGTTATTCAACACTGTGCTTTCCCCTCCTTCTCCCCATGGGAATTCTAGTGGTTTGCCCATGGCACTTTTTTTCTGCATTCCTGTCAACTTTTGTTTTTAAAAAAAAAAAAAAAAATTTCTGACCTTATCAATTTTTGTTGGAAGATGGCAAATTGTTGTACAAAGTCTAATTTAAGGGAAATAGAATGACTTTTTAAAGTTAGTCAGTATGCCTTTTGTCTGGTATTATTGTACCAGAAATGTAAAGTAATGCTGTTTGGAAGGGTTTTAAATTATTGACATTGTACAGTCTCCGTGCATTGGCTCTGGAAGGTAGAGTGGCAGAGTCATAAACCTTAATTTATTTTAATAGCTGTGTTTCTGTGATCTGGTTGCATTTACGCAGCTTGGATTTGGATTTTTTTCTTCTGTTTAACAGTGTGAAATGTATGGAGATCATATTTTTTATACAGGTATTTCAATTAAACTTTTTTTGTATATAACAGTTCCATGTTTGTGTGCTCACTTTTATATTTACCATTACTCTTGATGACAGCAGGGGAACATGTGTTCTGTTACCTTCTCTAGCTTGTAAAGGCCTACAGCAGCTGACCTGGAGTTAAGTGATCTATGCCATTAAGCAGTGACCATTTTGGAAAAATTAAGCAATCCCTCATCTTGCCTGTATCTACTTCTTGATCACTGTATTTGATGTCAAACTGGAGAAGGGGTACAACATCACTAATGGCCTATGTGAAGGGGAATTGGCCAGTAATTGTGGGGTTTTTAACTCTGTAAACACTGAATAACTGAAATACTACTGTACTCGTTGTCCTTAAAGGAAGGATTTTTTGTAGTCGCTGGTGGTTACTGTTCTCACAGTTGACATGTTTACTTTCCATTACATTCAGTTTCCTTCCTCCGGCTTACCCCTTCCTCCAGGGGGTGGAAGGGGATTTCCTGTGCCCTTACAGGAAAGGGACAGCATTCTTGGAGAGTGGGGTGCCTGCTTTCCTTCAGCTCCCTTCGATTATCAAAAAAGACTAGTGTGTCACTTCGTAAAGGACTGGGGAACGTGTGCTGTTCTCATCCATAGCAAAGGGCAAGAGAAACATCCTCAGCATTCGTCTTGGTGCGTTGAGAGTCAAGTCCTGCAGATTACCGAGTTCATCCTGGTTTCTCTGCAGCTAGAGTCTGACCTGACTTGGTCTTTTTGCGGGGGTGGTAGCGATTACTGGGTTTAGCTACCGCAGAGGGATCCACAAGGTACATTTAAGCGTGTGTTCAGTCATTAAAGGTGCTTTGTAGTAGTCACAGTAAAGGACTAGGCTTAGAATCTGTTGTTTTTATGTTACTTCCCTTTCTGGGGAGCTTTCTGCCAGCTCATCTACTATTATTTTGGTTCCCTGTGGGGAATATCTCGCTTGCTGACATCACATCAAGCTCCTGATGCTAACTAGACTCAAAATGCCAGTAAATAGCATGAGATAAAGCAGAAGGGGAAAGACCATTCTTGTGTGTGCAGTTTTCTGATGACATGGGGGGAAGGTGCATAGCTTTTCCTTGGCCATAAAAAGGAAGTTCAAATGACTCATTGGGGTAAAAAAAACCCCATACACAACTGTGTCCATCAATTTGTCTGTTTTCTGGTTTTGTTCCTTTCTCATTTTAGACTTGTTTCCCCAGTTTTTAATCAAAATCTGTACATATGCTAAAACCTTATGTCTGGGAAACTTGCATATACATGGAAATGCCTATTGTTGGAACTCTATTCACAGAAATAAAAGATTTTACAGTTCAGATTGCTTAGGGAAAAAAAAAAAATCACACAATCATGTCCTAAGGGAAGAATGCTTAAAAGTGAAGATTGGGAGTTTTAATTATTATCTCTTTTGCTTAAGAGGAGGGACTCCGATTAGCTACAGGAGAGACGATCCCAGTGCCTAGTGCAGTTCTTTAGGGAAGCATGTTTCTAACCACAAGCAGTCCCTGGAGAAATTCCAGTAGCTGACGATAATTAACATCTTCCACTCCAGTGGCTTTGCTTGCTCGCAGCTGTTGAGAGGGGTGGTAGCGAGGCCGTACGGGTGAGCTTCAAAAGGCTACCAGAAAAGCAATTCTAAAAATACGTCTGTAAAGCTATTGTTGACTGCTGAACTAGGGACTTTCAACATTGCCACGGGAGCGTGTGCTACTTTCCTTAGCTTCATAGAGAAATGCTGTTGAAGCGGTCTGTTTTGCAACATAAAAACTAGGTTTTTCACCTTTTGCTACTGAGGCAAAACGCATTAAAAGGATAAAGGTCAAAAGGACACTGGCACGAGTGCTGACTCCCCTCTGGGATTAGCTCAACATAAAAGGTACACTTTCAGTACTGCACAGGCAGCTTTAGTTGTGAAACTCCCCTGTACACTAATAGAAGCCACGTGGCTGAAACACCATATACTGAAAGTAATGGTTTGTAAAAATAGCTTTTCATTACAGTTGCAAGTTGGAAAATGATGTGTTAATATAGTTCCATTAGCTGTTACTGTCAAAATGAGCAACTCGGTGACAGCTCTTGGTTTCTCCTGCGCTTCTACCTCTTATTTTAATATCATTGTGTTGCTTCTCTGGGATCCTCCTCTTTGTACTCTCTCCACACTAGGTTGGGTTTCAACAGCACAGAGCTTGAAAAGTAGAGTTCTGCAGATCATTCAAAGTGCTACTGTTTAAATCACAGCCTGTTTTAACTGTGACAAATTGATTCAGCAATGATCATACCTATGCGTGTATGTATGCTACTGGCTTCATAACAGGTATTTCAAATATATTCTAATGCTGAAAGACCTTCAACAAGATAGTATTTTACATAATCCATCTCTCTAATAAAACTCATTCTCCTGCTTGCATAAATACACACTTGCCTTTTTTTTTTAGCTAGCTAAGCTTGTATTTACTGAAGCAACAGAACAAGAGCCTTTTGAACAAAACTATCAGAAGGATGTTAGAAAGATTGACGAGGGTGTGTTCTCACCAAACACTTATGGTTCTCTTTCAGTGGTTTACTGACCTCTGTTGGTGAAATTAAAGTATATGTTCTGAAAATAATGATGCATAAATTGGGAAGAGAGGTTTTAAAACACTACTGACCGATATTTTTAGTTATGGAAGACTATGGCTCATGCTTAAATATCCCACAATGTTTGAAAGGCTACCATTAACAAGAAGAAGAAAAAAAAAAAAAGAAAGAAAATTAAGATGCTGCATATATTAAAATAGCTTTTCAATAAAAATGGGACAGGGGAGTATGAATTCAAAAGGTTGTCAACTCTGCATCTGAAGTTACAGATGTAACCTGCCTAGTGAGCCCCCAGTCACCTACATGACCCTTGGCATGAGCATTTACGAGCGTTCTTCCACTTCATTTCAGTCACGAGGAGAAGCACTTGTCTTCTGGCATACAGATGGGCAATAATTCTCAGCAGCATAACTAGATAACATAACAGAATATTGTGGCCCTATAGGCTTATTATTAGTGGAATTTTTCTACTAACAGCAGTGATGCTACTGTTGATGGAAGAAGTCAAGATGGTGGCATTTTAATTTCATTGCAATACATAGTTTTTTCTGATATTGTACTGAAGTTTGCTATGCTTGTAAATTTGCAATTGCTTAGTTTCATGGTTATTTATATTTAAAACTGGTTTTGCCTAAAGGGTTCCTTCAGGTAGCTGATATTACCAGAGACATATTAAGCTTTGGTTTTATCTCAGAACTGCTAAACAAAGTGCTAAGGACGCCACAAACCCACGCAACTAAAAATAAATTTAAATCTGTATTTAGACAGGATTCCTAACTAATTTGAGAGAATGTTTGTCTCTAAAACTGATAAATTCATGTGGATCAATAAAAAATGTGGGTGTAGAGACATACCAGGCTTTATTTTTGCAGAAAAGAAGTTACACTGGAGAGCCCCAGAACTGGGGTCTAACACAAGGTAAAATGAGGACCACTAACATAAATCCATGACATTCTTGTAGAGATTTTCTTAGCTAGCAATCCCACTCCTTCTGTTCCAATAAATTTAAAAGGTATTCAATCTTCTGTGTCCTTTGCAGCT